AACACAATTTACCGTGATGTAATTAAGGTCAGCCTATTTTCGCCAACCCTTAAGTGCATTCACCTTATTAAACTGATCTAACATGCCAATCAATCCCAAACTACCAGCGATTAACTCTAATTATATTATTAAACCGGATCACGTGCATGATTGTATGCTGCATTCACACCCACAACCACCACCTTGCACTGCACGCATATGCCTGCCAGCTCGTCCGTGCAGGTTTGTCATCTGTGCAATGGGGCGTTGCACCGAATCTCAAATTGGCCCTAAATAATAACACAACTTACTGTGTTGCTGCATCTCTCGCCTGGGACGTGGAGAACACAAGCTCAGAGTTAACCATGGAAAGGGATGTGGCAAAAATAAAAATATCCTGTAACGCTGTCAGCTGAAAATGTGCACTGGGTGGTTTCGGGGAAACCTTTGGGAGTTTTAGTAACGTTAAATATTGAGTTTGCACGTTTCTAGCCAAAAGCATGCGTGTGGTACAGATGGCAATCTTGTAGTTTACAGCTACTGACCCAAATTAATATACAAAGCCCTACCGCTTAGGCGATCTGTTCTATTAGCGGCAGGCAGGTCACTGATTGCTACTGCCAATGTCTTAGCGTTCCTTGCTCATGTGAAGTTTCATAAATTATTGTCGCAGCGCCATGCAAATTAAAATGTCAATTCAAAACTCCTAATGCACTCTTCAAGCTCTCCCGAGACATTCAGTGTGCTACTTTGTAGATAATTTATCGCTATGAAATAACACATTTTACAGAAATTAATTAAAGTCATTGCTTTACACATCGCATTTTAGCGCCTTAATTTGCATCAGTACACAGCAGTTTGTATTCTGTTTGCCTTCACTTCATTCTTGTCTACTTCCCCCACCTACGATTAGCTCTCGGTTGGTCCGTACGGTGCGAAATAAGTCCAGCATACACTAAATACTTCCTCTACACCTTCGAAAGCCTCAATGGTGTGGTCGGTAACTTGCTCGACTACAGACACACCCGGCACTTGAACACGTTTTGATTGCGTAGCACCTGTAGTGGGTGTGTATGGCGTGCACATGGCTAGCAATAACACTCCAAAAGCCTTGTACAAACACACAGATGCGTATTAACCCTACACACTTCTAAGGCCGTAATCGCAGCAGGTCACTACTGAAAATTGGTGTAACAGTTGTACGAGAGAGACTTTTTTTTAACAGACGGTACTGCTACCGGTAAGAGGTTCACTCTACCCTTGCCTGCACATATTCCACAGGATGGTCCAGATGTCTTGTGACCCCCATTTACCGTAATTATCGAAAGCGTTTTTTTTTGTATACTAATGGGTGCGAAAATAGAAATGAATAAGCAAAGGAAACACGTGTTTGGAGCCAATTAATTGTGGGTTCACAAGCCATGTGAACCACACTGTGCACAACACCTCTGTGGAGAGCTGTCACCAGGTTATATCACGTGTTAGGTTTACAATAAACTTGTTTTGTTGTTAAATCTTGACTTAAAGCTTTCGTGACTGCAGGAATCCATATTCTTTGGGTCTTTCGGTGAAGTCACGTAGATATGTTCAAAGAAAACAAGTATGTTTTTGTTATTTTCTATTAACCTATCTACGTGACTTTACCGAAAGATCCAAAGAATATGAATTTGTTTAGTTGTTGCTGTTAAAGTACCATTGATGCCCGCATGCTGAAGTTGAAACAATGGACACGTGACTTCATCATGGGATTCCACCAAGCAGTGCAACCACAGTTGGCGATCGGCAGGTCACGCGTGTGTGGTGGGGGGGGGATACAGTTCAATCATTTTCCCAAGAAGTCTCGCTCGCATGGAAGAGTAGTAGGCCAGAGAGCCCCCCCTCGTGGAGACGCTTCCATGTAATTCAAATAAACGTCCGTCACCGGCGAACAGGATAAAAACATTTGTACATCATTTACTTTGTGATCGAAATGAATTTCGAACAGGGTGAATACATTTTAAATCATGTCCTGGAAGGCTTACCCATTATCTCTGGTATTGTATCACTGAGTTTTGAGTGACCCATTCATCAATTTGCTCAGTTTTCCTCTAGGTTAAGTCCCTAATAGCAGCACAACTTTATACTCATGTTTAACTTTGAATGGATTGTTTTTACGAGATTTATCGTCACCCTAATTGTGTCGGAAACAAATAGCCGGGCATAGAGATACAGACATAGCTAATGCATTAATCCTTTCAACTTTTGTTAAAGTGCAAATAATAGGCCAATTCGATTTTGAATAAGCTGAGAAATGTTTCCTTCTTTCACAATGGAAAGCCGGTGAAACGTGCATTCATTCGTTTGAAAGGTGCAATCATTTTGCTCTTGCACACAACTCCTGAGAGCCAGTGCATTGCATTACAGTATTTCTTGAATGCATTGAAAACGCGCTCTCAATGAAGAAGTTCAGCAGCAAGACCGATACCATTCGTCGCTTACAGCATTTCTTTTGTGCAAATAATTTCACTTCACTGGAACCAAATGTCATTCGCATTGTGCTCTGGAACAGCTCTGAACGTATATTAAGTGTCCTTTGCGATGGGTTGGGTATACACGGCGTCGTTACGGTGGTTCGTTCTCTTTATAGATGGACTCGAGAGGTGGTTGTCTTTATTTTGACACTCTTTGGACCACGTCTAATTTCGCAGTATATATATTTTCGTACACGTAACCTCTCTGACTTTTCCGGCAGAGTCTGCAGCTGTGAGCACAACATGAGTTCCTTGTAGGGTAATGGTATGCCAAGTCCAGATTGAGCAAGTCCTGTGGGCTGCTGTTGAAATCATTCACACTGTATTTAATTGTAGTTCTACTCTCTTGTAGTATTATGAGATGCTCTTCTTCCCAGATTTTTAACCCCAGGTGCCAATCCAAGATGGATGTCAAATGTAAGAGTATGTGTCTAGCCACAAGCGAGATGGCACTAAAACTGGAAGTGAATGTGTTACATCAAACATGGGTAACAGAGCTATCATTCGCATTCTAAGTCAACATGGCCAAAGCTACTGATTGTTGAAAACTATTGTCTTGATTGCCCCAGCTCCTGCTTTCTGTCTAGACGGGGTAAAGAAAACGTGCTTCGCCCAGAGCTCCATCTGGTTTGCGTTATTAATAATCATTAGGCCATCCCATAAGCCACAGCTATGATAGCCAAAGCCACAGCTATGTTGGACACTGATGCCGCATCCCTGGCTGTTTTGGCATGCAAGGATCTGCCTCGTGTCTTGGGAATTAAGTGTTGCACACCTCTAAGACAAATGCGTCTGTTCACACGGTTTGGCAAGGGCCCTTGGTCGAATTTGACCTCAAGCTAGAGACACGACCCAGAGGTTATGTTATGCCAATTCAACTTCTGTTCGCCGACAGATGGTTGTTACGTTAGTGTCCGATCCAGTATATCGTGAACATGGATAAACTCAAGTCAAGGTCAAACCAAAACCAAACATTCCGTGTGTCCACGTCTTCTACACGATACTGCAATCCTTAAGGTATGCTGTGGGTGGATGTTTCCAGCTGGACGCTTACCAAACCAAAGCATGTGCTGTTGAAACATGTAAAAAAAATGTTTTACAATGACGAACTTTACCTTCATGTGCATAAAGTTCACTTATGCTTGGAGGCCAAATATCTTGGGAGCATGTTTTATTAAAATCTATCCATGAAAGCTCATGACAGGAATGCAATCATGCATTGATTCAACAATTAAAATCTATATTCGTGCCCTGCATACCAATTGCCAGACTGAGGCCCTGTCATTGTCATCAGACAACACTTTCGTCATGTTATTCTCATTAGGCCCCACGGTGTGAAGTGCATTCTCGAACTCACTACCAGTGGATTGACAAAGGGTAGCGAGGTATTATTTATCAAACTAATAAACCAGGTCTGCTTATTTACCGCTACTCTAAAGTAAATAAAGTCCTACGCTATAATTTGACATCTCACACTCATAGCATTATTTGGCTTCCTGGTTTAGTTTTAAACTAATATTTCCCCCCCCCCCCTAAAATACAATTACTTCACCTATTACTCGTAATGTTAACCATGGCTGGGAATCAAACTCGGGAAACCGGTCAGGTTTATAGTGGAGTGCACCAACTCCTCTACCACTCAACCCCTGCTGTTAGCCAAGCTGTTTAAACATCGTCCCTAAATATATACAAGAAGGAATATCTGCTCAGTTTTTTCTTACACGTCTATATTCCACTCTTTACGTACAAAACACTCAACCCTGCGCGAAGGTTCATTGTACTGTACACAAACGTTCCAGTAAATGTTCAGAGTATTCCTTGTCCGTAATCTGTTTAACGCGATTAATGTTTTTTTTTTAAGTAAATTGTTTATATGCTGCACGAATAAAATACCCCGCTTCCTTTTCGCATCTCATGCCCGCCCTGAAAACCCCTCGCCACAATTCCCCAACTGTTCCCAGCATTGCCGTTGCACAAGTCCAGTCACTTTAGCTACGTGGCACTCAGCGAGCTGCTTATCAATTAACCGGTCGATACCTGTAGGCTAAAATAATACAATTGATTTAAACACGTCCCGACTTATCGTGTACCGAGCGTAGAAATCACCACATTCATGATCTGAAATTCATCAGCCGTCACCGCCATTGTTATGATCATTGTCATTTATCATTAATCAGCCACCATTGTCATCATCGCCAATGTCATCAATAACAATCTGTATCTATCATTTTTATTATTATTTTCGTAATTGTCATCGACATCATCGAGCAGCAGTCATTACCATCGTTATTATTTACGAAGAATTTCGCTTCGAGAACTTTGTTAAAGACTGACCACAAGCAGAGGAAGCCACGGACTTCGGCATTAAAACTCGGGACACGATAGCCCTTCCCAGTTCCACTATCCAAACGGAGGCGATGTGCACATGATCAAGAATGAAAATCCAGCAATGACAACAAGGACACGCTAGCAACCGCTGCTTTGAAAAGTACAAGCGGCTTCAGCGCTTACCGCTTGCGTGGAGAGGGCCGGCCGTCGTGGCGAGTGGCTGGCCGGCTTTGTCGCTGTTCGTAGAGGAAGCAGCAGCAAGAGACGAAAGATTTCAGTGAATCCACTCGAGAGAGGAGTCCGTGGCCACAGGGCACAGACCGATGACGCGAGTGGCTCATTCTGTCGCTGCGAAGGCGGGCGGAGCGAGGCGATAATGCATCTGTGGCGTGACGCGGGGAACCCGTTTTCTCGCATTCTCCGAGGGTACGAGGCATGGGATGGTCACGATAAATGTCGTTCCTGATTGCGGAAGTGGAGTCCTTTGTTTGCATGCGAGTGAAGTTTCTAAAAAAAGAAAAGCGTTTAAAAAAGAGGTTCTAGGCTTTTCTTTCGGATTCCTCCACTCGAAATTCCGATTCTTTACAGCCAGAGATGTTTCCTCCTCCAATACGCCAACACGATATAGGGAATAATAATACTTGTCAACACACCACTCCCCACACCGCTTTAGCCATGGGGGTTGATCGAGCAGCCTTCACCACTCTGGTAAGTGTGCGGTTGGTGATGTGGTTGGGGGCCGTTGAAGATATCGCTCACTCGCTGATGCGAGCCGTGGTTGGGAATTGAACTCGGGCCACCAGGAGCATTGCGCAGTGCACTGGCCACGGCTCCGACACTCCACACATTCCTCTCCCTGCACCGACGATGCGGTATTTAATGCATTATCACCAGGGGAATCGTGGTCTGATTCGACTCCGGCTGGGATAGAGCATTGCCGCTCTCTGACGGTGGCTGCTGGGGCCACGTGCCATGGAACGCCACGCGGCTCGCCGCGGAAACGCTGTCAGCTCGGAGGCATCCTCCCCGTCGGTGACTCACTCGACTTGTCGTGATCTATGTGACATTTTATAAATGGTTATTTTCCTAATCTTTGCCAATTACAAAACTATAACTCCGATCCTAACTCTAGCCATATGCCGCGTAGATCACAGGCAGTTCATCAACAAACGCATTAAACTATTAACGTGCTAATTTAAAACTCTTCATCGGCAAACATTTAAAAATGTAATTCTTATCAGGCCCTATGGTATTAAGTGCAGTATATTTGTCTTAGCCACTCTATCTCTCTGACCTCTCTCTGTGTGATGAAGGGCCATTTCCCACAAGTTACCTTTGATATGTTTCCTTTAAACCCCAGTGTCATTGACAAATATGTTGAGTTTTGTTGATAATGAATGCGCAATTTTGCAACCCATTTTAACTTCGTGCTTAACTAATCTTTCATTTGGCGAATTTCGTTTTCATTTTCTGGCCCTCCAGGCGGCATGTGGGGTCACAACAAAGCACGCCCCGAAGTTTGGACCAGCACGCCGGATATTGGTGGCGGCTGCACCAAGCCTGGCAGCCTTGTCTGCCGATGTGCGCCAAGGCACGGGGGAGCGGCATGCGTCGGGGCAAGGTTCCATCCTGGCAGCCTACAGCTGCCACTGTTTGCTTTGTTTACAACTATTAAGCTCATTGAAAACTTAAGGTCAATGCAAACGAAATGCTTCGTGTTTGGTGTCGATGCAAGCGATCGAGCCTCACACTCCTGGAAACTAACATCGGTATGTCTGAAGGCCGATGATGGTTTATCTCTCAATCAATCAAATCAATCAATCTTTATTTTACGTGCCAATTCCTCCCCTCCCATATATATAAAGTGGGCATCGGTGCACATTCCAATGGAATGGGAACGCTACCGGGGGCACGGAGCCACATGAATGAGGAAAGAAACCCGTCACGACCTCGGCGGCTAACACCCACCGAGCAAAGTGAATTGCGATCGTGCGCAACGACCCCGCCCACTGTAGGCGCCTGCGTTGTAGGTAGCTGCATAACACCGATCTACTGTCGTTTGCCAGGTGCGTCATGAGTTAGACACTGGGATAAAACCAGCAGTGAATTCCCAGCGGGAAATATTGGTCATCATCATCATCATCACCCATGGTCAATCCACTGCTAGATGAAGGCTTCCCTAAGCCACCACTATCTCCTCATCCTGCGACGCAATAATCCACCCCTGCACCTGGACACGAGCTATGTCATCGCTCCATCTCCTTGGCGGACGTCCTCTCAGACGCGTTCTAGTTATGCACATAACTGTTTAATATTGATGGAGTCCCTGGAGTGGATTTAACAGAGTTGCTTTATTTGTTTAGATAGGGGAATGGTGCTTGTATATTATTAAATGTACATCATATTATATGGGTCTTTTTATTAAGTCACGTCAGTAGGTTCAAAATGAATAAAACATAAGCAAAAAACCACGACGTTTTGATCACAACACAAGCGATCGTCTTCAGGCTGCCTGTGTTGTGATCGAAACGTCGTGGTATTTTGTTTATTTTTTAAAATAAATTTTGAACCTATCTACGTGACTTTACCGAAGGACTCAAATAATATGAATTCCCGCAGTCACGAAAGCTTTACGTCAATATATATACAGTATGTTTGATTTTATGGCAATGTTGAAAGCAATGTAAATTATTGTTGTAGAGCAGTGGAGTTTTTTTTTATTATCTCCTTTTGATTTGTGATAAAATATTCGTGGAACCACAGAAACGTTGACCACAAAAACCGTCGATAAAACAAATCCACAGCTTTGATGTGAGCGCACATGCGAATAGTGATAAGGTACGGTATATGTCTACGTACCGATGTAGATTTGTAAATAAATGTTGAGAATGAGGGATAGTAAATATTAACAAATACAGACCCACAGCTTTATCGCTCGGACTGCAATCCCTATCGTTGATTCACGTCGCGTTATAAGATGGCCGCGTAATGACGGGGCTTAACAAATAAGCGTTAAACTGAGCAGTTTTGGCTATTTAGAGTCTGTGGGAGTCCGTTTCTCAACACAGTTTGGCTGCCCTCCGTAAATACTGTGTTGAATGCGCTATACCTGGAGCCCTGGCTTAGAAATTAAATACTGTAGCACATAAAGTGTCTGCCATGAAACACACACATTGCCATGTACCCCTCCTCCCCCCGCTGCCTCAGTAATCTGCTCATATTTCACTGCAGCAGCTGTTTGAAGAAATAATTAAAATAGCAAATCATGTAATTGGATGTGTTGTGTTCCTGGGAGGCTCAGATTTATAGAGAAGCTCTATTGAAGATGAGCGCATAGAAAAATTGGCCGAGCACTGCCAGGTTGGGCATTTGGCATCCTAACCACCGCTACTCAATTTCATCAGCATCTGTACAATTTTATACGTAGGCTTTCACGGCCAATATGATTCATGATTGGTTTATTTTGGGTGAGGCCGGCGTGTCAAAATGTGTGTCGTAAACCCTCCTCCACCCGACACAGCAAATTAATAATGAAAGTGTCACCCGCGTCAAACGTGGCCAAATCTCGCGCTGCTGCTACAGCAGCAGTAGCTACAACAGCAGCAGCGCACTGCCGGTGGTGTTATTGTTGGAAAATAACCTCGCAACACCTCGCAACATTCACGTGCGTGAGAACCGACGATTCACTGGAGACCACATATCCAGCATCGTCAGTGCTCGAATACATTCAGCAAGTTTGATCACGTGACACGTGTATTGTCCGTGTCGGGTGGAGGAGGGTTTACCGAAGGTATTTTTGGCACGACGACCGACCCCGAAAGAAACCAGGTGGGATCGCTTCTAGGGAGACCACCGAGTGCACCTTTGGCTTACCCACGTCCACCGTCATTAACGGTGCGAATCGCTCTCATGGAGGACCTCCCACACGACAGTTCTACTGCCCCCCCCCATCACGAACGAACGTATCGAACGAACAGTGAAAAATGCACAAGGAAGAACATAGAGACGCACGCTTGGAATTACATTCGGAGACAGAAAGGGGAACACACCGATTAATCATTCAAACTGTGAAGTACAATAAGTGGGCCTGGGCAGCACGCGTCACGGTTAGAGGGGATTAAAGCCGACGGCCAAGCATACGGATGGAGTGGCAGCCAAGGAACGTAGTTCGTCTGAGAAGATTTCTACCGAGGAGATGGAGCGATGAAATCACTTCATGTTAGGTGGATTAGTACATCACAGGATCATGAGAGGTGGTAGTGACCTGATGAGGCCTTAATCCAGCAGTGGATTGACCATGGGTGATGATGATGATGATGATGACCAATATTTCCCGCTGGGAATTCACTGCTGGTTTTATCTCAGTGTCTAAGCCATGACGCACCTGGCAAACGATCTACAATTTAATCGTGTATCTGATGAACCTGGCCTATTTTAAGCCGTGCAAACTATGTGGACCCTGGAATTATACCGTCGGCATGCAAATTTACACACCTGCCCACATTCCAAGCACACATACATCACTCTCCAACCCTCCACTGACACTAATCTAACGATACCCTTTCCCTGCAATCTGCTGAAACCATAAACAAACTATGGCACTAAAAAACCGTGATACTATCTGCAGGAAGTCCAACCATTGCGATCTTGTTTAACAGGAAAAAAAATAAATACATCACAAATATTTTTCACATTTGTAATGTTTAACAAATTTTCACCAAACGCCTTGTGTTACATTGGGAAATGTGCTTTATTTTTTTTAGATCACGTGTATGTATTTAGCATGGGAGTTCAGAATGGCAGAATCTGAATACAGTATTTGTTAATGCTCTTTTTCACAAATATTAATTTATCAGATGTCCGCCATTGAAACAACGATGAATGCTTATTTAACCCCCCCCCCCCTTCCTCTCTGTTTACACAGCAGTAAGATGGGTTCACCACCGTCGATCGGCAGTTCGCGTGGGGTGGGGTAAAGTGTGGGTACTGCCACCTCTTCCAAGACACCCACCTGGCCAGATGAGGAGGCAATAACACCCCTCGAGAGGACCTCGCTTGAGCTTCCCCGAGCGGATGCTGATCTGCCAGCAGTGGCGTGAGCAAGACATTGCAGGGATGCGCCTTTACCCTGTATGTATGTTGAACTTCTTTCGCACCGTACGTAGCCAACTGTGCTAATCACGGCGAATGACATTCACTGTTGTACGCACGAGCTGCTACTTTCACTGCATGCAGTCGCTATAGCAGTTCATTGCATTGGAACCTCTTTAACAATTGATTCATGTTTACAATGTAGTTTCTTTTGCAAAGTTTCAAACCAAATTTTTTACTGCGGTGTTTGATTATTTCTATCAGAATTTAAAAAACAACAACGAAATAAACATAATCAATTAAAGAATTTATCAGCAATCAAAATAATAATATCAGAAAAAAAGTTAAAATGTATACATGCTTACAATTATACGAAGAGACAGATGAGGGAGTAATCAAAAACATTGAGACATCACAGCGACTGGTAGGTGGGCTTAGGCCGGACACAACATTGTATGTGTGTGTGATGTATGTATGATGTATGTATGATATATGTATGCTGTTTGTATGATGTATGTTGAACTCATTTGGCACCGT